CATGTCAACATATTCTGTTACACCAAATACACAAAATAATGATCTTTAAAAAAGCATCATATGACCCCTTTAATTCTCGCTGTTGCTGCCGCTGCCATGTTGTGGAGTCGCTGTGTGTTTCGTTGTGAAAGCAAAACTACTTTGTTTGGCCTTCCAAAAGAGGACACAACTAGAAATCAGTGGTTAAGTTGTATTTACAACACTGTTCCAGAACAGTTCAACCCAAATATTCAGATGTGTGCAGCGCATTTTATGGAGGGTAAAGACTGTTTCCTGAACCAGTAGCCTACAATGCGTCTGTGGCACAAAGGCTGTTTCTATTAAGTTGGGCAGCTCCAACTTTGCAAGGACGGTCTGGCGCTTCTGACTCACAGCCTGTAAGTACGTTTTTTATATTTAAATCATTTGCCACTGATGATTCAAATGGTGAGTTTTGAGCAGTGTAGAGCAGGTTTGTTGTTTGTTGTTTCTCCGATCACAAATGCAGACATAGTTTTATGTTTACGCAAAGCGATACGCAGCGCGATACGCAACGCAACGCGTAAAAAGACAGTATAAGTCATTATAATCAGTAATTATGTCCCCACTGGATGCAACAAATGCCTCATTTGTAATGGGTTTTATTGGTTTTGTCTCGTCCTGCTGGGAGACGGCATCACAGTATGTTAAGGGGCGTAACATTTCCGTCACACGCATTCGGCCAATCACAATGCACTGGATAGCTGGCCAATCAGAGCACACCTCGCTTTTCAGACTGATGAGCTTTGTAAAAATCTACGTGTTTCAGAAAGGTGGGGCATAGAGAAGAAACAATAATGTACATTATATGGAAAATAATGTGTTTTTTGAACCTTAAACCGCATAAACACATTGCATTTTACCAAATACACAAAATAATGTTCTTTTTAGCAACGTCGTATGACCCCTTTAATATCTTGTCAATTAAATCTACAGGGTAAAAGCAAGAACATTGATATGCTTTTTACCTCTGCAAAGACGAACTTTGCATCGAACGGATAGCTGAGCTCTCCCTCTTTGATGGCATTGACAGACGTTGGGCCACATCGATAAAGACCTGTATGGGACATGTAAAATAACATATCTATAAACTTGGGTCAAAAGGTACTTCTATGGTACTTTTATGATGTGGCAGAAGTCATGATACCATCACTGGTCTCCTGAGGGGTGCAGTCGACCACCTGCCAGCCAGAGAAGTTTTCAGGCAGATCAGGCCTCTTCATGTACACCTCATTCCAGCAGTGGTAGTTCCTGTGAAATACAGAATTGCAGAATTGCATTTAAACATATTACTAACCAACCTGACAATAGTACTATATTGGCTTCATAGTATATCATAAATATTTTTTTCACTATATAGTGAAAAAGCCTACAATGTATAAGTCTGCATTTACACTGGCACAAAAAATGTATTAATTATTATCAAATTTATTTTTTTACTCACATGTGACAGATCAAATATTGTTGCACATGTGTAAATAAAAATCCGCACGAGACCTGATTTTTCACATCCGCTCTGAGCCGCTTTAATCATATCCAATATCTGGACATCTGACCTACTGTATGTCTAAACACGTAAATCCGATTTCCATTGGAATTCCAAGCAAGTGAGACGCATTTGCCCACAAAGATAACTTTACTTTGTCAAATTATGAAGCAGATGTTGCCTGTATGCGCTCAAACAAAAACTTCTTCTGCTTCTTTTATTAAGTATTCAGGAGCGCAGAAACTTGTTTTAAGACGCTGTCTTGTGAATTTTATAAATAAAATATCTTTGCTACATTATATTTTCAGCAAGGTGATAATAATGTTGCTGTTTTTTGAGTAATTAAACTCAGCTCTAAAGACCAGTAGATAAAACAACTTACGAAAACTGCTCTACTCTGTTCAGACAAATTTTGCACTGCAAACATCAATGACAGTTTTAACTTGTCCATGTCAATGCTGGCAAGTGATCATGGTATAAGTGGGATAATCGCAGCCGGTGTGCATTAAAGTCATCATTTTCATTTGATGAACCAATTTTCTGCAATACAGAATTGTGGACCTCTTGGATGTAACCTTGTTTAGGGAATCTCACCAGACTGAATCTTTTGTTCGGCTTCGGTCAATTTTCCCATCTTTGTCCAGCACAATGTCTGTCTTCACGTTGCCCGTGTTGTCATGAGCAGAGAAGAAATTGGTGATGACCCGTGCAGGGATCCCAAGACAACGCGTAACTGGGTGGGGTGTTGAACGGTTGTTGCAAAAAATGACGTAGAATTTTGATGTTCACATAATGTTTTAAACTATCATGAAGAAACATTTTTAAACGGACACCCCATAGAAAGTGCCATCGCTATACTCACAAGTGTTCATCACACCGGCAAACACCCAGCACTGCACAAAGGACACAGGCTCACAACCCTCACTGGCATATTTGAGCAGGATTTCAGGACTTCCAGTCCAGGCAGTGGGTGCTGTGCCAGAGGAGTAATCACCACTCCAGTTGCCAACCATGACACCTTTATCGTCTTGGGCGTTCAGCTGAAAATATACCACCAAATATAAAATGATTACTTGTTCATGGAATTGTCCATACTTTAATTCTTATTATCAAATCATACCAGAGCTGATCCTTGCCGAACTACTTCAGTGGCATTTCCACGGAACAGTAGCGGTACTTTCCCAGCATCCATTACCATAAGACAGGCATCCAGAACCCCCTCTTCAAACTATAGTAAACCACATAGGACGTTAATTCAGGGTGTCCAATCCTGTTCTTGGAGGGTCACCTTCCTGCAGAGTTTAGCTTCAACACTAATTAAATGCACTTGGATCAGCTAGTAAAGGTCTTCTAACTTCTCATTGACTCGGATGTACCTCATGGCCTATGTTGCATGAGTGCCCACTACTGGCAGAACCCATGCAATGGGTTGAATTGGAACGTCCTAAGCCTTTGCTCACTTGGAATCTGCAATGGTGATGATTTGCTATTTACACGTTATTATTTACATTGGGGTGGGGGTCAATTAAGCACAATTTGCTGTGTCACAATCTTGTTGCATTGTGATATATTGAGTTTCCTGAAGTGTACATATGAGTAGTCTTGCTCCCTCAGTCAAAGGTGTTTAGGCTCTATCCGTATAAATTTCCCTCCTCTAGATAAAGTGGAAAGTACCTCAAAATGGTAGCAGGGATTCCCCAAAGGGAAAGTGCTCAGGGACGTATGTCTAAGAGTGAAGTGGAAGGATGTTTCTCAATTGGAAGGCTGCACCCTAGTGAGGCTGTGTCCTTAACAGACCAGTCTTTCTCAGCTTCTAGGCTTGAGTTCTCCTCAGCATTGAACGCTAGAATGAGATGGTCTAGTAAGTCCCAGTGGCAACGTCATAAAGGTTAAACGTTATGGGTTCATTATGAAGCTCAATGCGGTCTCATTTTACGTCTTTGTTTTTTTATGTGTGTGTGTGTGTGTGTGTGTGTGTGTGTGTGTGGTTTGGCATGTGTACAAAGGACTGTGGGTAATTGGAAGACAAAGGATACACTTGATGCATCTTACAAGGATCATTCGAATTGAGATGGGCTTCTACGGTACTTGATGGTGTGGCAGCCGAGGTATGCAATCTTACTAAGATGCAGCTTTATGATTGAGAAACACCCCTATAAATTTCCAGGCAGGTGTGTTTGAGCTGGCTGGAGCTATACTCTGTAGGAAAGTGGCCCTCCAGGAGCAGGATTGGACACCCCTAGGTTAGACTGTATATGGGCATGAGTTCAGTGGGAGGAAATGTTTGGTTACACTTTATTTTAAGGTGTCCTTGTTACAGTGTAATTATACATATAAGTACTGAGTAATATTAATTAATCACATAATGTTTTAAACTATCATGAAGAAACATTTTTAAACGGACACCCCATAGAAAGTGCCATCGCTATACTCACAAGTGTTCATCACACCGGCAAACACCCAGCACTGCACAAAGGACACAGGCTCACAACCCTCACTGGCATATTTGAGCAGGATTTCAGGACTTCCAGTCCAGGCAGTGGGTGCTGTGCCAGAGGAGTAATCACCACTCCAGTTGCCACCATGACACCTTTATCGTCTTGGGCGTTCAGCTGAAAATATACCACCAAATATAAAATGATTACTTGTTCATGGAATTGTCCATACTTTAATTCTTATTATCAAATCATACCAGAGCTGATCCTTGCCGAACTACTTCAGTGGCATTTCCACGGAACAGTAGCGGTACTTTCCCAGCATCCATTACCATAAGACAGGCATCCAGAACCCCCTCTTCAAACTATAGTAAACCACATAGGACGTTAATTCAGGGTGTCCAATCCTGTTCTTGGAGGGTCACCTTCCTGCAGAGTTTAGCTTCAACACTAATTAAATGCACTTGGATCAGCTAGTAAAGGTCTTCTAACTTCTCATTGACTCGGATGTACCTCATGGCCTATGTTGCATGAGTGCCCACTACTGGCAGAACCCATGCAATGGGTTGAATTGGAACGTCCTAAGCCTTTGCTCACTTGGAATCTGCAATGGTGATGATTTGCTATTTACACGTTATTATTTACATTGGGGTGGGGGTCAATTAAGCACAATTTGCTGTGTCACAATCTTGTTGCATTGTGATATATTGAGTTTCCTGAAGTGTACATATGAGTAGTCTTGCTCCCTCAGTCAAAGGTGTTTAGGCTCTATCCGTATAAATTTCCCTCCTCTAGATAAAGTGGAAAGTACCTCAAAATGGTAGCAGGGATTCCCCAAAGGGAAAGTGCTCAGGGACGTATGTCTAAGAGTGAAGTGGAAGGATGTTTCTCAATTTGCACCCTGCACCCTAGTGAGGCTGTGTCCTTAACAGACCAGTCTTTCTCAGCTTCTAGGCTTGAGTTGCATTGAAAGTTGAACGCTAGAATGAGATGGTCTAGTAAGTCCCAGTGGCAACGTCATAAAGGTTAAACGTTATGGGTTCATTATGAAGCTCAATGCGGTCTCATTTTACGTCTTTGTTTTTTTATGTGTGTGTGTGTGTGTGTGTGTGTGTGTGTGTGTGGTTTGGCATGTGTACAAAGGACTGTGGGTAATTGGAAGACAAAGGATACACTTGATGCATCTTACAAGGATCATTCGAATTGAGATGGGCTTCTACGGTACTTGATGGTGTGGCAGCCGAGGTATGCAATCTTACTAAGATGCAGCTTTATGATTGAGAAACACCCCTATAAATTTCCAGGCAGGTGTGTTTGAGCTGGCTGGAGCTATACTCTGTAGGAAAGTGGCCCTCCAGGAGCAGGATTGGACACCCCTAGGTTAGACTGTATATGGGCATGAGTTCAGTGGGAGGAAATGTTTGGTTACACTTTATTTTAAGGTGTCCTTGTTACAGTGTAATTATACATATAAGTACTGAGTAATATTAATTAACTACATGTACTTATTATATGGTTAGGGTTAGGATTTGGGTTAGGCTTAGGGTTACTTGCATGTAATTATGCATTGTTAATTGCTATTATAATAGTAAGTACATGTAACATGTGTAACACGGACACCTTAAAATAAAGTGTTACCAAATTTCTTTATGCCTGATGTGAAGAAACATCTCCAGAGAACTGCCAACCTGCCCAAAGTTCCATGAACGGGAGGATATGTTGTTGTATTCTCCATTGTAGATGATCCCCACATCATTCATCACATACTCCTGTCTGTCTTCCTCTTTGTCCATGTACACTTGATCCGCTGGGTAGCAGCACATACAATATGCATGCGTCATCACATGTGTAGTAAGATAATAATGGTCCAGTGTCCAATCAAATGTACAGACTTATCAAAGGTCCGTTGTTTGACAAATTCATGCTACAAATATTAAGGTTTGTTTCCAGTGTGTTACATTTGTACTCACCAGGGTCCCAAGGATTGAACAGCACATAGAAATCAGTGTCTTGGTTCCTCTGAGTGCGCTGTCTTCCAAAATCAGTCACTATTGCTACAAAGGTGCGGAATCGGCCAATGATGCAGCTGGCGTTAGGTGTTATGCCCACTGTCACTTCATTGCCTTGTATTTCCACCACACGACCCTTCCAGTGCCTGTTATGTTTCCCTTTTCCAATGGACACAGTGATGTAGGTGCCCTTGTTATCATTAGGTGAACTGCCTGTGACGAGCAGATATTTCATATAGCAGACGAGAGATATTTCATATACTGCTTCTTCATTACAGAGGCTTTATGTAGTTTGTCAGTATTATTAAATGCAGAAGCTCACCAATCAGGAACTCCAGCTGCACATCATCCTGCTCTGCACTGAAGGCCCGGTCTAGTTTGATGCTGATGGTGAACTCTTTATTCCTGCGCACAATGAGACTGGAACTCTTGAAATTGTCCGTGTAATGGTCTTTTCTGTTCTCCGCCACACGCATGTCAACGCTCAACACAGAGAGACCTGCTGCTTTTTTTTTTTTTTTTTAAAAGAAGACTTACTTTCACAAACTGTGGCAAATGTTTGAATATTTTATGTGCAGAATGGCACGCATAAATGCAAACATGAGTAAGACTTTACCTTCATCTAGGGGTCCCCTTGGACTCAGAACATCAAAAGCCTCATACTCAAGTAGGTTAGACTCATGTGAGTTTGAGTTGTCAAGGGAAATACGGCCGTGTTGGTGTTCCCAGGGCTGCCCAAGTGACATGATGTGCTCAAAATGTCTTGGCGTTAGCCTGGATGACAGATGATTTTAATGTTAGAAAAATACAGCAATACAGACAGTCCTTTAGGTAGGGCTGGGAATCAACTCCTTGCTTCCAAGTCGTTGGGAATCAAGGAATCGATTCTCGATTCTCAACACCTTGGAAGCAAGAAATTGATTCCAAAAGTTGGGGGAAATTTGCCTTTTTCAGTCCAATACCGCTAACCGCAAACCGGTTCTTTTGGACGGTTAATTTCAATGAATTCGTTTAAAAGAATGATTGCCTTTAGGTAGGGCTGGGAATCAACTCCTTGCTTCCAAGTCGTTGGGAATCAAGGAATCGATTCTCGATTCTCAACACCTTGGAAGCAAGAAATTGATTCCAAAAGTTGGGGGAAATTTGCCTTTTTCAGTCCAATAGCGCTAACCGCAAACCGGTTCTTTTGGACGGTTAATTTCAATGAATTGGTTTAAAAGAATGATTGCAGCCATTATTTCATGCTGTCACGTACATATTTGTCTGTGTCACAGCTATGTGTCATGGTATGTCATACTGAAACAGTTAAACAAAGCCGTATGTGTGAACGTATATTGCTCATTAATTACCTTTAATTTGCTTAAGTTAATGAGGTTTTGTAGTCACTGTTTAATTCTGTGATCAGCATTCGACTGACACATATTTAATTGCCTATGACTTGGACAAGTTCCCTACATTGAGGTTTTGAACCTAAAACACACAATTCAGACACTGGTGCACAAACGCGAATTAGTGATGATTTAGCTTAAAAGGTGAAACTGGCTTGTCTGCTGTCCACAATGGAAGGTTTTGAGCGACGCTTTGGACTACATAAAGAGATTATGGATGCTGATAATAATCAGTGAATACAAAGGGAATTTGAACAGTTGATTCCAGAACCAGAAATCGGAGTCAGTTCCAAACATTTCTGAAACGAACATCCCTACCCTTTTGAGAATACATCAGCTAAGGCATGGCAGGAGTAAAAAAAAAAACTCTGTGTACTATAGGTCATAAAACTAAAATAAACCACCTTGTATATAATGCTAAAGTGTTCAGAAATCCAGTTGAAAACTGTCATTAAAAGTGTTGAACTCACGGTCTCTGTAGAAGAGTAGATGGTCTGCTGAGAAGCTCCAGGCAGATGTACCAATGAGGAGCTCCATGCTGATTAATATAGGCTCAGGACTTCCTCTTCCACTGGAGAAAAACACCTCCAAGGAACCAGAGTCAAAGTCAAAGTCAAGAGGATCCCAAGATCAGGTCATTCTGACACACGAATCTCTGACCTTGCTTCTGGTTCTTGATGACAACGGCATATTCCAGACCATCACTAACATAGATGAGATGATAATAATAATATATGATAGTAATTCTTCCTATGGTATTATATTTATGAAGTGAGTTTAATGGTCCTTAAATGTTTTGAAGACCACTAAATCATTAATGTGAGATTTACACTCAATACATTTCAAGATGAAATGAATTGAAAATAAAGGAAAAATACTCTAAACTGATATGCAGAAACCATTAACAATCATCAGCAGTGCACATAAATTATCTCTCAGTCAAACAAATGACAGTGACATTTCACTGCAAGCATCGTCATATAAAATGTAAATACAGATGAATACATGTGGCCATTGTATTTTTAAACCAGAATTATGCATCACATATAATTCCTTCATCAGACACTGATCAGAAAACAAGTTGTTTAAAAATCATTCGCTTTAGTAGCCAGTCCAAAAGCTTGAAGGATCATAAGAAACTGTTTTGGAACAATAACACATGCTGGAATATGTGACTTATATTTCACATCATTGTGGATATGGTGGATAGATCTGTGTATGCATATGCTGATCACTAACGGCTTGAACTACTAAAGGCGTTCTTTAAAACATCAACAATATTTTACTCAAAATGTATATGTTATTTATCATACTTCCAAAAGCCAGATTTTAGTATACTCATACTGTACATGTATTGTCTTATTAAATCTAATTTAATCTTCACTGTTTATGGTAAGCTATAAATTGCAGTTACCTTCAGCCAAACAGATTTTACTGTAGCCTTACTTTTGTATTTTTCTGTTGTTGTTTTTTTTTTCATTCCATGTTGTTTTAATGCAACAAAAAACCTACTCATATCAGAGTACCTCCTAAATGTAGACCTGTTCCTGTAGCAAAGCCAATGACATTAGTTTGATTCCCAAGGACAGATCAAATGCAGGGTCAGAAAATACTGGGGGGTTTTAGCAAAAATGCCCTGAAAATTCAACATATGTCGTCAAAATACCCCTGGAGTTCTTGTTTTTTTATAACATACAGACTATAAGCAATATTGCATAAGCAAGAGAGCTGTTCTGTTGTTGTTGTACTGATTGCAAATATGTCAATAAAGAAAGAAGTTGTTAATTTACGTTTTAAAATGCTAATCTCATAACAGTATTTATGCACTTGTAATTTGAGTGTAAATGCATTTATGCCACCTCTGATCTGCATACAGACTTAATGTCACTTCAGATGCAGCTTCTGTGCCAAGATGGATTTTACTGATGCTGATTTCATTTGATTGCTAACTGTACAGTATAGTGTCTTATCATTCAAATTTAATTTATTGATTACATTTAAGAATTTAAAATAAAAGTTAACACATATATCTGATATGGTTAGAGAAAAATTCCTTTATAAATGCTCTAGAAATGACCATAGAAATCAATTTAAAGTGGAAAATATTGCCGCTTAATGGAAAAAAAATGTAATATTTGTCAATGTAGGACTATACCTTCAATGAACTCTAGTTCAGATAAAACCTCAATTGTTATGGGAGATGATGCATAGCGGGTTGGTGTTACATTTTTATCCATATAAAGTTCAAACCTTGTGACTTTTCCAAGTCCATTTTCCTCTTTTTCTCTTGATCCCTAAAAATAATATATAAATTGATACTGATAGTACCAGCATAAGCAGTCCTAAACAATGCTGTATCTCAAAAAGAAGAGAATTTTGCTTTTCTACCTCCTGTTTCCAACACTGAGTTAATTTCATAAATAAATAAATCAATAATAGTTTTTGCCTGTATATAAAATACACAATTAAAATTGTGAGTTAAAACAAACATACGAGCAAATAAAAAATGACTTGGAAAATGAAACTCTGAAATATTACAAATATTTTTATTTCATTATAGAAGGTACTGACATGAAAACAGAAGTTGGAAAATTTTGAATGAATATATGATTTGATTGTGATGCTTCTTAAATGAACTGTTAAACTCAATATATGAGGCATCAAAATAGAGGTCAGGGTGGATAAGATGCTGTTCTTACAGGAGTGTCGTAATTTAGGTTCTATTACAAATGTATTTTACATAAACACATCTTGTTGTACTTGATATTAGGAAGTGGCTAAAGGGCATGACAATAAAGTTGTGTTGACATGAAGATTCAGGGAAGTGAAACTTGTGACGTGCTGAAATTATCGTTTTGACTTTAATGAGAAGTTAAGTTGCCCTGTTCCACGTATTTCACCTAAAATTCACGAGAAGTTAAGTTGAGTCAGACTCTGGGTCTAAAGCAACCTGAACGCTATGAAGATACGACTGTGTGGCAATATGTTGTTGGTTCTGATACTGATTATGGTTCAGATGAATTGGATTCACTCTCAGGATCCTCAATGGCCGGTTCACACAGTCTGCGACTCAGAAAGACTTACAGTGACCTACAGGAGCTGCGGTGAGATCAGTGTGACATACACTACTGTTCAACCGTTTGGGGTCAGTAAGATACATATTTTAAGAAATTAATACTTTTATTCATTGTGGATGCATTAAATGGACAGTAAAGACTTTTATATGTTACAAAAGATTTCTATTTCAAATGGTTTTCACAAAAGATGAAGCAGCACAACTGTTCGACATTGATAATAGAGATAAAACATTGAAATTTTTGATGTCATGTTGAGCAGAAGAGACTTCCTTTTTTCCTATCAACCCCAAGCTTTTGAACAATATAGTGTATAAATATATATATATATATATATATATATATATATTATGTTTTCCGCTTTTGTGTGTTGTTTGATTGAGAGATGTCAATCATTTACAGGAACTACCAATTGTCAGTAAATTTAATTCAGTCGTTTAATTCATTTGATCTTTCTTTTATTTTCATCCTAAAATGTATAGTGAATTGCTTTCATTTTCCCATTTCATTGTCTCAGACCCTTTACAGGATGTAGGTTTCACTCTCCTGCCTTGCCCTGGGAGATTAACTGATCTCATAAAAATCAGATTGGCCTTGATTCTGAGTGAGTTTTCATCTTTGCACATAAATATTACGTTTCAGATAAATGACATGAAGCCGTCAGGCAATAAATGTGTGTTTTCCACAGGGCAGTCCATCGATGAGCTTTATTCATCATATGAGCTGTGGCTACACGGGCAAAATATGCCTATCTTGAATCAGGACGAGCCCCTCTGTCTTCCTCACTTCCCACGTTTCAAGTTTTGTGGAAGCAGGAGAGGAGGTGAGCATAGAAAGAAAGTTGTCGGTTACCTTTGACAGTTTTATAATAAACAGATTGCAATATTATTGGGAATAACATGTCAAATTTTGATTTCTCCAGAAATCATCACCGTTGAGTCATCATTTAAGTCAAAAACAAATATTCCTCTAAAGGTTTGGTTTGCATATTCCATTTAAACACCTAGGCTTTGATTCACTGTTGATCCATATGTCTGACGTGTGTGTTTGTTCACAGGCTAATTTTGATCTTAAACTACGTGCAATAAATCAAGACGGCTTCCTGATTGTCTGTGTGAATGCAACTCTTAGCTTTCATTGATCGTTTAAGACCAGAGGACCTGTACTTCAGCTGAGAGCAACTGTGAAATCTATCACATTATGTTAATTGTATTACATAGTGTTGAACTCAGGTGTTGTTCTTATATTACTGCATTTGGGACACTAATTGGTGTTTCTTCAGTTGTGGAAACTGAGTGAATGTCAGCATGTGTTCAGGATTTTTGATGCTTTCAGATGATTTTATAGATCATTAACTCTTCTAAAACTATACAAATCCAATGAAAAGGAAAGAAAAAGGAAAAAGAAAGAATTATTATGTTGAAAAACTATATTTTAGTGCTTTTGCCAGTAAACGCAAAGTTAGGGAGCATGCAACTGTTTTGTGAAAAAACACAAAAGCACTGAGATAGGCTATATTTTCCCCATAACAATTTATTCTTCATCCCATTACAGTATATTACATGTGATCTGTGAATAAAACAAAGAAACGTCAAGGTAAATATCACATACCATATCTTTATTATCGATCAAGCTTTTATTTTCAATCAAGCTTTAACCATTTAACAGGTTTTTACTGTAGCATTTTTACAGTCTTTTACCGTTAAATTCACGGTCATTTTTTACAGTGTACGGCTCAAACGCAAACCAATGGCTGAGAGCCTCTGATTTATATGGGTAGCAATATTAAATAAATATTAAAAATTAACTAAATGTTCTTAAACAGGTTGTGAGTCTTTGTCATCAGTAGCGCTTTACCTTATTTTTTTTTTTTATTTTTTTTTAATGCATATTGTCTACAAATATCAACAGTTTAAGGGTCATTTTTGTCAGGACTGGCTTGTTATAGTTAACTGAAACTGAAACAAAAACTAAAACCATGAAAACAAAAAATGTTGCTTGAAATAAAATGAATGTTAGTTTAAAGGTATAGTTCACCCAAAATGAAAATCCTGTCATCATTTACTTACCCTCAAGTTGTTCCAAACCTGCATGAGTTTATGAGATATTTGGTAACCAAACAGTTGCTGGAAGCCATTGACTTCCATAGTAGGTTTTTTTCCCAATAGTAGTCAATGGCTACCAGCATTCTTCATATCTTCTTTTGTGTTCAATGGAAGAAAGAAATTCATACAGGTTTGGAACAACTTGAGGGTGAGTAAATGATGATATATTCATTTGGGGGTGAACTATCCCTTTATATAAAATTAAATATAAAAACTTTTTATTTCAGCTAGTTGCCAAGGCAACATTTATGTTTTTAGTTTAGTTTAACTTGATGTGCTAAAATACAACTAAATATAAATACAATTAAAACAAAATAAAACGAATAAAAACTAGAATATATAAAATGACAAAACTACT